CCCCAGAGCGCCTGGCAGGCGTGGCGGGGAGCACGCAAGCAGCTCTGCACAAGCCGGAGCGGGTCTGACCACGCTGATGTCTCTGGCTTGATGCTGGTCATGCCGGACGCAGGTCATCTGGGCATCGTCACTGTGTGATCCTGCTGTGTGAGTTCTCCCATTACTGTGTGTAATGGAAAATGGGTTGTGCTGCTTCGTTCCTTTGACGTCACTTAAAAAAACAGGGACGCTTCGTTGTGCTGAGATGACTTATACTATATGCTCAGTAACATTATTATCTAAACTAATTTAGTGGGAGCAACAATGCGTTTTCCAACACTTTGTTTCTTCTTAACTTCCAGGTTTTCCGAAAAAAGGCAGTGGAGCTTGGAGAGAAATTGCTGCCTGCTTTCAACACTCCCACTGGGATACCTTGGGCATTGCTTAATATTAAGAGGTAAAACAACTGCTTTTTGGTGACTAGAGCATATAAAAAAGTTATATTGAAACTGTCTTCATCACAGAACTATTACAATTGCTGCACAGTTTTTGTATTTCCAGCTGGGTAAAAGTTGCCATAAGATCCTTGGTTCTACAGTTTAAATTAGGAAATTTAAGTAGATACACGTTGTACGCACAAGAATGCATATAGAAATTAGCATTTATGCACCTCAGAACTGGCTGCTTTTTTGTCAGTTAGTATGTTGCTCATCACTTTTCCTGAAGTCCTCCATTGCTTTTAGTGTTGTTATACATAGGGTAAGGGCCAAAGGACGTGTGCTATTCTGAAGGGGTAAAGTTTCCAGCCACTTTGTATTCACATTTTTACCTGTTCTCAAACGTAGTATCAGCGTGTCCTTCAGTAGCATATCAAGAAACAAGAGTAATCTCTGCTACAAGTGACTCGTTGTTTTGCACCCTCTCCCAGGGAGTGGTTTTGCTTTGGCCAGTTGTGCTTTGAAGACAGCTGCGTGTTTGCTGTAGGGAGATGTATGCTCTCCTGAAGTCACTGTGGCCTCCAGCGTCTGACTCCAGACAGATGTCAGCAATTCCTTGGTCTGCCTCAGGCCTGCTAGCAGTGATACTGTGCTGGCAAAGATCATGTTTTCTTTGCACTGCCTGGGGAAGAATATTGAAAGTTACACCTGTGGGGTATATTTGTGCATTCATAAGGATACATCAGCTTTCTTCGTACTGCGGATAAACCCCAGCACCACCCGCCACAAGGAAGTGAATCAAGAATTTCACATGTGCATGTGTTGGTGTTGTTTTGGGGTTTTTTGTGTGATTCCCTCCTTGACAGTCAGCATCTTCCACTGTTCTCTGCTTGATCTCTGTTTACGGGCACACCTTTTTCCCAGAGTGGGACGTACATTGGCCTGCTTGCTTGGTTGGCTGTTTGCTTCAGGCTTCCCAGTAAACTGCTCAGAGCCAGTCCTACAGAAACCCCTGGTACGTCAGTTCAGACAGGCTTATCTCCCCCCTTCCTTTCAAACACGAGTGAGGCGGGAGGCAAAAAGCAAGTCTGTGTGCAGGAGCAGGAGGGAGTTAGTGCCTCCTGAACTTTCTGGTCGTTGAAGGGGCTGGTTAACTGCTGCCCGGTGATGATCCTTGGACTTCGGTTACTTGCATGCATGCTAATGATTTCTTCTCAACAGACTTTAATGAGTTCTGCACACATTCAACAGCACAACGGCTTGAGGTTTGTGGGTTATTGGTTCTTGTATTTTGTTTTTTTGTAACAGTAAGCTGTTACAAAAACTTCTTGAGTACGAAACCCTAGCGTATGTTTGTAATTGCAACACAACGGTATCTTATTCTACATAGTATATGTAAACGTATTTAAGGTGTTTAGGCTAAAAATTTGTCTTATATGTAGCCCTTACTTAAATCCCTGCTTATCTACTAAATATATCAATGATTTTTGCAGATAGTTCAAATTCTGTCGTAGGTCTTTATGATCTTATTCCTAGCTTCTCACAACAACTGCTGTGGTGCACTGCAAATGTCAGCCACAAACACTACAAGGCAGTGATACAGGAGGGATTCATTTCTTACCTTGCACCAAAGTGGAAGAGGATCTCTGCCGAGATAACTTCCTTTGCTATGGCAGAAAGAGTTACATTAAATGCTGGGTTCTTGGTTATTCGTTCTGAATCCTTGCGCATCTGTCTAGATTTGACCTTCAATAGATGACTCTTCCATAATACTGTGCATAAACAAATACGCTGTCATCCAAGCTTAGGAAATGCTAAGCCACTGAAGCCTGCATATATTACAGATCTAATACGCCTCGTTTCTGATTAGTATTTTATTTGATTTTATTTTGATTTATGCTTCAAATTGGATAACATTCACAATAGATTGTGGGTGTCAGTGGTTATTTTTAAATGACTATTTTTGGATTAACAGATGAGCTGGATATTTGTTTCACTATGCAAATGTTCTTCACAAAATAGTTTGTTTTCTCTGCTTTCCTGTATCATCACAGCCAGACTTGCTCTCTTCTTCGGTGCCTCTGTGTGTAAACATACATACGTGCTTTTGTCTGAGTGTGTCCTTACATACCAAAGGCATCCACCTGAAGTCATGTAGTCTTTCTCTTCTCCATTGTTTTTCTTCATCCTGCTTCTTTCCTCACGACTTAATGACCATGGGACACTTACTGTCTATTTGTGGAACCCTAATCAAATATATTAAAAAGTTCACTATACTATTCTTCAGCTAAAATTATTAGCCAATTCTTGAGTGTGTTTGTAAAATTTCCTTTTGTCTCTGAAGTACATTTTAAGTAATTAGATGGTGGTTTGTACTGGGATTTCCTTTTCTTTCTTTCTAAATGTTTCCGTTGCATTTCCATATTTCTGATGTTCTTGATATTGCTCTGTATCTTCAGCATCTGTTTTTCACTTCTGCTTATACTGCCAAATTTGAAGTTCCTTTTATGGGTCACTTGCTTATTTGAGTAACCAGTGTTGTAAAACACTTGTTGGCTGTTCTGGCTGAAAACACTGGTACAGAGAGGCTGCAGAGAGAGAATGTGTATGAAGTGGTGTTGGCTGGGCAGATAGGTTTGAGTCTTCTTTTGCAGATAAGGAGCACAAGCTGGCAAAGCTGCTTTTATTTATTTACTTACTTACTTACTTATTTTCCTTCCTGACCCAAATCCTTTGTTTAGATATTTCATCTTTAGTACTTCTGAAACAGCAACTATAACAGCTTCTTAAAATACCACTAGTTCATGATCCTTTATTTTTCTTCCCAGTGAGCCATGACAATCTGGCTCCTTCATGCTAAAATTTTCATTTCCTTTTCTCTCAAAAACCTTCAGGTAATTCATGACTGAGCAATTGGGTTGCTTGTGTAGTTCTGTAATATGCCTCTCAGATTTATAGAAATAAAAAAATCTGAAATTATAGCTCCCTTAGTGAGTTAAGTAATCTTAAGACATATCCAGCTTGCCTCATGTTCACAGGATCAAGTAACCTTTTCAATGTATCTATTTATTTTTATCCCTGTAACTATTAAAAAGGAAGCTGAATGGGGCTTCTGGGATGATGCCCAGCTGTGAAATACAGAGAAGAACCCAGATTGTTGTTAGTCTGTTGTATCAGTCAGGAATAAACTTCTGAGTATAAGATCCTGTACAATATTTTTTCTCTTTTGGATGAAAATTGTCTCTTTATGTCGCTTTTCCCCCCTTTGAAAGCAGACCTGTATCTTTTTTAGTCACTATTAGTTCCAATAAGACCACATTACTACTTTCTAATAAGCAGCCCAGAAGCGTTCTTATATGAAAGAATATATTTTCCGTAAAATATTTGCTCTCTATACATTGACCAGTTGAATAGTTGTTTTAAGGTTATTTATTATCCCTTATGTCCTACTATGTAGCAATACTGTTAGACATTAAGGTGCCTGGCTTTTTATGAAGGATCAGTGTGTCATATAACCTTTAAGTGCATCTGAAACTTTGAAAAATAGTTACGCCTTACCTTAATGAAAAGTTTTTGACTGGGCTAAATAATATTTTCATTTCTGGAAACGTAACAAACTGGAAATGGGTTTTTTTGGACGTCCAGCCTGTTTGCAGATGTTGTTGTGCCTAAGGGGGACACTGTGCTTGTTCCCCTGGCTCAGTGACAAAAGTAAATAATGTAAACATTTATGGCTATAGGGACCATGGGAAGTTCTGTATAGAAGAAAAAGCTATGAGGTATGGGTGGAGTGGGCCAGAGCAGGGAAGCTTAACAGAAGTCAAAAAAGAGGAGTTTGAAATAAATTTGATTAATTTGTATTAAAATCAAATCACAGGGAGTGACAAGATTTACTCAGTATAAATGTAAAATGTTTCCCGTGTCTGATGTCAGCCTAGGATTTTTTGCCTTTTACACTTTAGCATTGAGTATATGTGAACAGTGGACCTGAGTTGAATTCAGTGTTACATATTTTATGAAGCGAGATAGCAGAGGCCTTGCTAAATTGTTTGAACAAAGTAGTTACTCATTTGTAGGTAACTGAGGATCAAAGTGACAAAACTGCAATATTTATGCTATTGGGATATTGTCAGCATGATTTTAAAGCAAGGTCCTCTTTTGATTTTTTTTTTAAATTATGAGTGTTTTTTAAATATCACGTTTTGTACAGAATATGTAAGTTATGCCACAGACCTTTCCAGGCCTCAAAGCGTTCAAGGTTTGAACAAAAGTTTCTTGGAGCTACTGAGCCCTTGGAGCCACTGCATGGATTCAGAACAAGAAGGTACACCCACAGCGTGGCTTCAAACACAATCTTTTTTCTCTCACGTTGTTTGAAAAAAAGAAAATAACGAGGAGAAATACGCCCATAGTTTTTTTTATTTTGAATGCTTTAAGTTTCAGTACCAGCTAAGATTCCTGTTCCGTGACAGTAGTGCCAAGCAGGGTGGCTCTCCCCCACCAGCCTGGTTTGCCCAACAGAGCCTGGCTGCTTTGGAGAGGGATTTTATGCTAAAATGCCACAGCATCTGCCAGGGTGACACATGCACAGGTGGTGTTCTCTTCTGGGGCACACACTCTGGTATTTCAGAGTACTGGCAGTATTTTAGGTTGCGGACATTTAAGGGAGCTTATCTCTCGGCACCTTCTGCCTAGGAGGAAATGTGGCTGATAAACCAACCACCGAGGTATAAAATATTGGTCTTTAGACAACAGAACTTGCTTGAAAATATTTTAGATTCAAAGTAATTCCCAAATCCAAAACGTGTTTAAGGTCTCATGTGCCTAAATCACTTGAGGAATAAATGGCCTTCAAAATGTCTTTAGTGTGCTACCTCATTAGAAAAACTCTAGTTCCTAAGAAAAGATTTTAGCTTATAACAGAAGGGTTGTCTCTGAGTTCTGGGACTGCTTCCAAAACATCATAATCAATGCACTTAAGAGTATATTCCTTTATAGTTTGTAAAGGAATCTTAATGCA